TCCCCTCTTTGAGAACGTTGGCGGTCCACGATGTCCTCTCTTTGAGAGCGTTGGCGGTCAGCGATGTCCTCTCTTTGAGAGCGTTGGTGGTCCACGATGTCTTCTCTTTGAGAGTGTTGGCGGTCCACGATGCCCTCTCTTTGCATTTTCCTTATGTCATGCATAAAGGTGCCCATCTCATGCACACGTAATGCTTAACACACATGCGGGGACCGTTTGGATACCACATGCTCGGGAGGGGTCAGCTTGGTTCCCTGAGAGTTCAGAAACCGAAAGAGCAAAAAAAGCAAAATTTCCGGGATGTACTGGCCTCTATGTCAACTCGCTGCAGTCAAGATTTGAGGTTCCTGACCGATGAACTTTGGGTTGATTAAAGCCAAACCTAGTAAATTTCTAGATTAGTTTTCAAAGTGCCCCAGACCTTTTTTGCAGCTGTCTTGAGCCAAGAAAGCTGTACTAAGCAAAATATTACTAGTGTTCACCTTAGGTCAGTGATGTTGATTGAACTTTAAAGACCATGGTAACCATAAACCTACAGGATTATTTCAATTTTGAATTTGAATAGGCATCACGAATTACTAAAGACATTTTTTCTAAAACAGCACGTTGATCTGGGTCATTTTAGGTCAGTGACCTACTCTGACATTAGGTAAGTCCCTGGAGTATGTCTGTTGTGGTTCCTGTTATGGGGAACGATCGAAATGAGCACCAAAAGGTAACTTGTAAAACAAGCTCTCCAGTGAAGGCGCCTTGGTTTTCACCCTCATTTGACATTCATGCAAATATTGAGGGCCCGGCGTCAGTGGAATATGTGAAAATCCTGAATTCAGTGGTCTACTTTTTTAGAGACTATGTCACAAACATTTGTTTTTGTCTAGCACTTCGTTTTCGCATCAGATTAAGCGATTCCCTACAAATTACCTTCACTAACCTCCACGTTCTGACTTTGCCATCTGCTATAAGTCAGCGACCTTACAAAGAACTCTGAAAAAATAACGGAAAAGATCTGCCATTCAATTGGCTACAGCCATGCAAATCTCGGCGATGTAACAACACGCCGCTCAGAAATTGTTTTGAAAAATTTTTGAGCGGGTGACCCCCACATGAGCGCGTGTTAGATGGTAGTGTGAATGCTGTATAACAATTGCTACGCAGAAACCCTAAAAAAGGATTCCGATGTTTAAAAATCCGCCATATTGTTCCGCTTAGACCGAACATGAAAGGCTGGTGGTTAAACTGCATTTGAAACAGTGACAAATCATTCCCTGCTTTCTGCCGGGAATTCGATACCAGGTGAACAACAGTACTCAATACATTTGTCTGATCACAATTACTTCATTAAAACCCCTTGGCGTTGTGCGGACATATGTTGGTGGTAAGAGATAAAACGAAGCACTAGGTGCGATACTCGGATGATTTAAACGCTATGACGGCGAACCCCACCGGACGCCGAAAGTGTAGCGCTTAACACGTCCGCGTTAACCACTGCGCCTCTGAAAAACCGGAGGTACAGGGTCCGATTCCCCAAGGTATCTGTCCTTCCTGCCAGAGTGAGAAGCAGGCGACGCCGTTTAGCCACAGCAGCTGAATGTGTCGTAGTGTTCTAATGACAGCAGAGCTTCTAACCATTGATGGAGCGAACGCCTAACGGCGTGGGAAAGCGTTTCACGTGTTTAGAAGTATTTCATTAGCGGGTCTCGCGTCATGCAAATTACGATGGACGAGGAGGCAGTTACACAGTGCACGGTGACATTGGGCTCCTTATACCCGGAAGAGCTATACATTCGTCCAGCATGTTATGAACGCCCTTACCTTCAAACAGCTCGCTGGCAACGCGGATGCGTGACTTCTAGCTCTGTACCGGCATCATCCACGCGGCACTTCGGGTGCTGAACCTGGCAGTGGAGGTGATGGGCCCGCTGGGGTCCATCACCCGTCTCTGCTTCAGCGAGATAATATTGTAGAGTGGACGGTCGCGTGTCTAGCTTATTTTGCAAAAAGAGAAAAAAATGCGATACATTTATCTGCGATGCTGAAAATGAATTGCCCGGCGGTCGTGAACGAGGTTGTGGTGTGTTATCAGACAATATTCAGTTTCCACCTCGGGCAAGCATTTGCCTGGATTCGCTGGCACAGGTAGGGCGAACCAGCGGGGCCTTGCTTACCCTTCGCATCATAAAAATAGCTCTCGTTAGGCGACAGGTCTGGTAAATGACCAGACATTAGTTGAACGAGCCTGGCCAGGCTGGGGTTGTGGCTCCGACTGAGTAGCTTTTAGATTCTAGTGCTTTTTAGCCGACAGAGCCCCACATATATACATATATATATATATATATATATATATATATGACAGCCAGAAAAGTAAGAGATACGTGCATACTTTGTTGCTAAAATCCCCTTGGTTAAATAGGTATCTGGCCATTTGGCCTTGGGTGATGCGCCCGTCCGGGGCGGTTTATAAATGGTGAATTTGGCCTGGAAGTTTGATAGATCCCCTCGTGGCAAGTTCACCAAAGTGCCGCAGTTGTGACATACGAAATAGACTGGTAGCCCCGAAGTGCAGTTTTGAGTCCATTCGCTACTCTGGTACTCGCATATGTTTCCCTGTGCCGAGTGTATGGTGGGAACAAAACGCGGCGGATCGTCTTCCAATAGCCTGCTTTATGAGCCCCATATTAAAGCCCTAGATCCTAAATTACTCTTAAAAGGTGGATATAGCTGTAGAATCTCTACTTATCTCCTCCTAATCTGCCTTGACCGTTTTACTCACCACACACCGCACGTTACTTGCGATCGTCTTTGTCTCTTGCCGCAAATTCGGCCGTTCTGGCCCCGCCCCCCTTCCCTTCTCCCGTCAACAGGCCTCGGTGATGTTAAATAGAACCAGCCTGAAAAAGCGCCTTCTCTGTCTCAGACGAAATTTGGAACCGTCTGATTGCCACCTGGAGTCAAATCTTTCAGAAACCGCTGCAATATGTTTCTAAATGCAATCAACCACAAAAAGCGCAGGCAAATTAAACCATCGGCATAACCATCGAACGTTTTCGTTTCGGGTGTTCATTTGCACTGAGGTTTCATTTTCTGGTCATCAGACACTGAAGGAAGGTTGACACCAACTTAACGGAATCCTCAGATGAAGGCATGCTAAACATAACCGGCCTAAAGACATGCAGTTTCCCATTCAGTGGGGGGGGGGGCGGGGTAGGCGAGATGGTGCCTCCTTACCAGGGATGCAGTTTTTGGTTATCATTTTAATTCTTTATTTTTCGTTTATCATAATTTTGGGCTCAGCCCTTCAAAAAGCTAATTTTGAGAAACTATACCTCTGCTGCCAGATGCGAAAGATTACGTCAAATCTGGGGAGAAAGCTGTATACTGCGGACAAAACTGCATGCTGAAAACTGTACAGTTTACTGTGACTGTAAGCTGTGTACTGCGGCATCAAGTGCATTTCGAAGGCAGGCTCAGCCATTTTTTTTCCTGTGACGCCCCTTTCGTCCCTCTCCCTTACGTGCTTTGCAAAACTGCATCTCTGCAGCCCTACATTTACCGATAGCATGGTCCTACAAGCATCTGAAACAATATCACTTTTGCTTCCGTGACGTCGCCGTGCAATCAGCTGAAAGCGTTGGCGACCTACATCATCTTGGCATAAGCATTGCTGGTGCAGAACTCGTACTTCCTGACATGATCACAATTACTTGGGGCAAACGTCATGCGATTTTGGTACCAGCAGATGCAAACGACATTTTTGAATGCATCTAGTACCTTCATCTAGCTTTATATGCAGTGTGATGGCAACTAAAAGTGTTTTATTGCATGCCTGCCTGCCGATCAGTGCGCTAAATCTGAGGTCCAACGGGCAATATGAGAGACCTACACCAGTGATGCTCGGCCTCTCACTTCACAGCCGCGGCTGCTCTCAGTGGCAGGAAGCTCTGGATGAATCCTTGACGTATGTCGCTTCAACGACCTCCGCTTACCTCTGAAGCTTTAGCTCAGGTATCCACGAACAACAATCCTAGATCGGGAGGGTTTTCAACGCTACTATTTAGAAAAGCTGACGATTGGCTACGTCCTTCTAGCCAGTCAGTGTCTCACGACATGAACACTATCGATAGTAGCCCACATCCCTACACTGAACCCAACGCATTACCGTGTGGCGAGCAATCAAGCCCATCTGTCTCAAATGGTATGACGCTTGAAAACGCTGCGTAGCAAATTATTCACGTTTGTCGCAAGATGCTGTGACCAGCCACGATTCTTACAACTAGTTATAAGCCCAGCTATTTGGTGTTCTATACTGTTTAGGTCGTGAAGTGAATTTTGACTGAAAAGTCTGTGCAAGCACTGACCTAAGCGACATTGGAAAAGCTCTTTGTCACCACTGATCTGTGACGTCAGCTGTGATATGTATAGTTTATAGTATGGTTCTGCCACTTGCTAAAAACTATCCTGATTTAAGCTATTATGTTTGCCAGCACGTTACGGCTCAACTTGCTCATACAACGTCACGTCAACGTTCCGACATGTGCTCACGCTTTAAGCGTGAGCGAGTACATAGCAATAATAAGGTATCAATTTTGTCGAGCTGGGATAATCTGTTGTAGAATTGTCTTGTCTGTTGAAATTTGCTATTATTTTTGCAATTTTATACCAGTTGGCCCGAAAAAATGTCATTTTTTGCTACCGATCATATCCGGTAACCCAGAAGCGTTTTCACTCTTGTCTAGAACCTTGATAGATGCATGCGCAGCAGGGACGAAACTACATGGGATGTATTGCCTTGACCCAACCCATTCAAGACAACCTGTGTCTTCAACGCGCTGATTGTCTCCCGTCGACCCCTCTTGTTAAAAAATCAAGCTCCACAATTTTCTGTATCGTTCAACTCAGTTTTTATGAGATACTGAACGTTTCAATGTTAAATGTCGGGACACAAGGATTCATTCTCACAAGGTGATGAGATGAACGAATGCTCAACTGCTTCAAAAATGTTCCTTTAGTGAGTGCCTAAAATGCATTTATTTTTGTCCCCAAAACATTCACGCGTACTTCTGTACGAGCAGTGAGGCTACTCTCATTCTTTTAAAATGTCTAGCCGGCTGTTATTTAATGCATAATCGAATTCAGTACGAATGCTGCCAATATCCGAATTGCGCATCTGTTAAGCATCATCATCGTCAGGCGCCATCAGGAATCTGTTGACGTCGCGACCTCTCACGTGAGACTTCATAGCATCACAGCGAACGCGCCCCAAGCTGACGTGTGCGCGATCGTGCACACAATTCGGGATCGAACAGACGGACAGGCGAGTTCGCTGGTCAGTTAGAACACCGCTAGATTCATACTGGGAATAGCCTGCGAGTTGCATGAGCTTACTCCGTTTGGTCCCACCGTATACTCTACAAACGCCAGCGGCTGCACTTGCGTGAAGTCGTTTCCGAACTCGGGACCAAGCGTGTCGCACATTATGCGCGCCCAGCTGCTCTTCCTGATCTCCGCCAGCTGGGCGGCTGTAAAACTGTGCGGAAAGCCGCCGTTGTCGTAGAAGAAGCGGTCTCCGAAACGAACGTCGAAGAACTGTTGTCCGATCAAGCACTGGAAGGTGGGCCCCACTTGAGCACCAGCGGCTCGCCGTTCAGCCAGACCGCCGATGAAGAGGTCCACATCCTGTGGGTCATCGTAGAGGGAGCGCAGCTGGTCGATGGCCCTGGAGCTCATAAGGCGGTTGAGGTCGCCCCAGCTGGAAACGGTGTCGCCCCTGCAGGCCTTCAGCACGGTCACGTACGTGGGGATTGCGTGATCACGTCCTCGTTGGATGTTGAGCGAGATCAGGTCCAATCCAAATTGGAAGTTGGTCGTGAACAGCTGTTCATGGACACCACTGATGACGTTGGCGTCGAATGTCTCGGGTCGCGTGGCCACCAGAGTCCGCGCGTGCTCGACGAATCTCTGTCCCACCACAGTCGGATTGAAAAACGTCTTCGTAACATTAACAGATTGGATGATGTCGCCGTTAGCGTTGATCAGGTGATACATGTCACGCAGCAATGAGTGACCGAAGCGGAAGGCAGCAGTCGCAAACTCGTTGGATGCGCTTGGGTCTACAAGCTCATCGTAGAAGGTGGAGAAGCCGGAAGTCATCGGCAGCAGGTCATGATTCCGGGCGTAGTCGAACCCAACAATGATTGGCAGCCACTCGTTGTAGATGATGTGCTGCCACTCGGCGATCACGATCCGCCGCGCCTCCTGGAACAGCTTCTCGTCGTCCCAGTTGCGGTGGATCTGCTTCAGTGCGCCTGCCACGCGGTTGTGCTCACGTGTGAAGATGGTGTGCATGACGGTCAGGGCGCTCTGCTCATTGACACGCGACTCACCACCACGGAAGCAAACGCTGGCGTCGTTCACGCACGGCTCCTGTATTGCGGCCTGACGACGTTGACGTGCTGATCGCTTCCCGAGTCTGGAGTACGGGCGGCGGTGACCGGGGCGGAAGGTGGGTCGCGGCGTGGTGCGCTGGCGGGCTGGCGTACTGGAGAGTGGCAGCAGGTTGTTGTTGGAGGTGATCAACAGGCCGTCACTGAAGGTACGCAGTCCGTCCTGTTCCTCCTGCTCGCTGCCGTACAGGTTGGAAGCGTCCAGGTGCGAGGTGAGCTCATTGATGGGCGTAGAAGGGCGTGCGATGCAGTCCAGGGACGGTGCCGGCAGCGAACGCACCAGGCTCATGCAGCGCTGGCCGAACCGGCTGTAGAACGGGTCGTCGACCGGGATGGGGATAGGGATGCACTGCGGGTGCAGGGGTGTTGTCGGCAGCGTGCGGCCGTCATCCTCGCAGCACTCGATGCTGCCAGCGGCGCCCAGGTTGAAGACAAGCGCGTGGTTGAAGTCGTGGTCAACAAACTGGCCCCACTGCATCACGGACAGGGTGAAGCCGTTGAGTTCGCTCGAAATGGTCTCCACCACGCGCTCGCTGATGAGTCGTGGACTTGGCAGCGGCCGGCCTGTCACGCTCCGGGAGCGGATGGATGCGAAGCCATCATCAAACGTGCTCTCGAGCAGCCGTTTAAAGCCAGTCAGCGCACTGCCTTCGCGCGGACGTTGCAGGTTGTTGCACTCTCCGTTCACTGTGCGGTAGATACTGCTCCGGCAGACGATGGGCTCCGCCACGGTGCAGTTGGGAAGGAGTGTGGGCTGCGCCGGAAACGCGCTGGTACCAGCCTCCTCATTGTTGAATCTGGAGACGAGCTGCACCATGTCTCCGCCACCCTGCTCGTTAAGGGCTTGAAGTGCCAGTTGGTTCCGTAGGCCCTGCAGGCCGAGTTCCTGCACTGCCTGACTGGAACGGAAGTTGAGGTTGAAGACTCCCACTGGGGAGTCCCTGGGCGCCGACTGGCCGCCCTGCTGTATCTGATTTTGGATGTCGCGCGTGGCTTCTCTGGCCGCTTCTTGCATGTCGCCGCCTGTGGCAACCATGACGGACTGAGTGAGTACCTGGGCACTGGCGAGTGGCCGCGCAGCGTCCCTCCGGTCACCCATCCGGAAACCAAGCGAAGACGTTGCCCCCTGCATCGGATTGATGCCGCGGTCGCTGCACATGACGCCAGTCGAGCCGTCGCCCAGCCGACACCTCTGGCGGCCGAAGCTGGCCGGGTCAGCCACCGCTGCCGGGCACAGCACGAGCGGCCGGCAGTTGCGTTGCAAACCACCGCTTGTGCCCGTGCCAGTGCCACCGCTCTGCGGGCAGCAGTAGCCCCGCAGGTAGCCGCGCACCCGGCACGATCTTGCGCCCGCGGCGCGCGCCTCCGGGCATCGCCAGGTCGGCTGACAGTTGCAGCGGGCGGCTCGGACTCCGTTCGAACATAGCGCCGACAGCAGCAGGGCCTGCAATGGGGTGAGGCCAGGTCAGATCAAGAAGTCTGCCAGCTAGGCATGTGACGTCACGTAGTGAGATGGAAGCTTTGTAAGTCTGGAGTTGTGCGCCCGTGAGCAAGGGAATTGTTTTGGACATGCAGACGTCGAGTCAGGATGGAGGCACGGAGACCAGGCGGATATCGTAAACTGGTGCCAAAGGTTTGCGAAGAGAAATATTGAATTAATGAACAGAATCGAATGAGTTACGCTCATTATTGCGAGTTTCTGGTTTGGAGATCAGGATCCCTGCATGATGTGGATGGCATACGCTGCAGGCATGTGCCACCTTGGACGCTTTACGTCCTCGCCACCAACGCAGCCGTCCCCGTTTCACCTCACTGACTGATTGGCATGCAAGAGAGAAGAGAGAGAGAGAGAGAGAGAGAGAGAAAGGGACCGAGAGAGAGAGAGAGAGAGAGAGAGAATGAGGATGAGAGGAGGAGAGAGAGAGAGGCCGAGAGAGGAGGAGAGGAGAGAGGAGGAGAAGGAGAGGAGAGAGAAAGCGAGGAGGAGAGGAGAGGGAGAGAGGGAGAGAGAGAGAGAGAGAGAGAGAGAGAGTGAGGAGAGAGAGAGACGAGAGAGAGAGATGAGAAGAGAGAGAGATGAGAGAGAGAATGAGAGGAGAGACGAGAGAAGAGAGGAGAAGAGAGAGATGAGAGAGAGAGAGAGGAGAGAGAGACGAGAGAGGAGAGAGAGAGAGAGAGGGAGAGAGAGAGAGAGCTATACGTCTATGTATGTATATATCTATATATATATATATAATATATATATATATATATATATATATATACATATAAATCAACATATAATGCTTCTCCTTTTCGGATTCACCCTCGGGTTCCTTCTAACACCGCACACTTGGCACTGACACTGACACTGACACAGCGTCAGGAGATTTTTCCACAAAATGGTATTGCTCAGCTTTCATCGAGCTCCTATTTGCAACCAAAAGTAGCTGCATGCCGAAAACGAGCAAACAGGTTATCCCACCACAAAATGACAGGTGAGTTGGATGCATGAATTAGCAGTAGCAATCCGGTTCCAATCAGTACCGCTAGCTTTGTAACAGCCGTGAGCAGTGTGAGGCATGCTGGACGGACACCCAGCACACCCGGGAGGCGGGAACCGAGGGGGGGGGAGGGGGGAGGGGCAGTGGGGGCAGTTCCCCATTTGAAAGCTTGGGGGGTGGGGCAGGGTAGCACCAAAAGTCCATTTTGAATTGTGGAAGGCTCACTCTGACCCATTAAGCGTCCATTATGACCAAAATAGGGCAGTTATGGGCTTGTACGTAGAGAGGTCATTCTGGCCTGTAGAAGGCCCATTGTTGACTGTAGAGGGCAGATTCCTACCTCTGACCTGTGGAGCGCCCATTCTGGCTTTACAAGAGTCCATAACAGCCCAAAGAGGACTTATTATGACATATGGAGGGCTCAACATGCATGACTGGCGCTCTGCTCTCATGACTGCAGATGACCAATTTTGGCACGTATAGGACCCATTCTGGTCTGCAGTGGAGCCCACTCAGGCATGTAACAGGCCTGTTGTCGGCTGCAGATGGTTCATTCGGAAGTGGGGGGGGGGGGGGGGTCTGACCAGTAGAGAGCGAATGACTGGCTGTGGGGAGTTCCTTACGGCTTGTAGAGGGCCCACTCTAACCCGTAGAGAGCCCATTGCGGTCCGTAGAGAGCTCATTCTGACCTGTAGAGGGCCCATTCTGACATGTCGAGAGCCCATTGTGGCCTGTAGAGAGCTCATTCTGGCCTGTAGAGGTCCCATTCTGAGCTGTATAAGGCCTTCTCTGACTTGTGTGGGACCTGCTATCTAATTTTAGGGGACCCATTTTGACATTTTGAAGTTTGTCTCCGCCTCCCAATTTGAACATAGTTCCCGCGCTCTTGTGTGACGCAACTAAATGGAAGCCACACGGATAAGCAGTCCTGGTTTGGTTTAGCATAAACATTTACGACGCACGTAAATAAAGTGATGATTTCGGCTGATAACGATATGCGTTTAAATCGGGTGAGCTCAAAGCCGAGAATCGCATGTCGTGGTGGATTTATGACACATTGAACTGCTGAGGCTACATGGCATCACCTGCGTCTCATTTTGATAGGAAGGGTAGGAATCGCGCTGAACTGAACCGCGTTTCTCGGGTTTCCCAGCAGCAGCCTTATGACAACACTACTGGAACCCGACAAAACTGAGACTAGAGTTCATGTTTGCGAAGATCAATAGCAATGAGCAGAAGCCCTATGATTTACTTATGAGGGTCAAAAACAGACGAGTAGCTGAGTGTGCACTTGGTTCAAAGAAGGAAGGATATTCTTCGTTTAAAGCTGCTTCCAAGTCTGTTTTGAAGGTAAAAAGCCGTCCTGTTTTGGCCTATGTCACGACTTCATGAAACTATTGGTTTTTAGTTCTTTCATGTGCGTAGTTTCATAAAAGAGGGCGATAATTTTTGAAGCGATAGATGGGACTGTGCAAATGACTGAATCAGAGAGGAAGTAAATGTTTCAAAAAAGTAATGAAATATTGATGCTTAAGTTTAGCAGTTATAAATATATATTTTGTTTTGATTTCTTTACATAGAACTGCTCAATAAATCCGCTTTGGCTGTGCACAGGTTTGAGTCATGACCGACTTGTGCTGGACTTTGAACTCCGGAATGATAACTTTATTGTTGACTGGCTGGAATTCCCGCTGATGTCCGGGCAAAGAAGTACTTCACAATGCAATGAAAGGATTTGAGAATGTCTTATGTTTTTTATCTTACAATTTGATCTAAATAGCACTGAGGGTGATCCTTATTGTTCTTGTAATTAATCGCTGCGCAGGCCACAACGAAATTGCTTGCTAGTGTAAGAGCAGGCTTAATCTTTGACGACTGGTGCATTGAAGCGGTGCTCGTGCTATCCAGAATGTCTTTATCAGCCTGGACGGCCACATGATTGCCTGAGCTGTGGTCGAGCTGCTGGAATGCAGCCATCAAGGAAGTGTTCAACATTCGTGTGGGGTTTTGAATTGAAATGGGTGCCCTGAAGCTCATCCGGTGCTGTTCAGAGCCCAGCCCTACTTGAGACCTAAAGCTCTCTAGTTTCTGAGCTACACGTCCGCAAAGATGTGGAGACTGTTTAGAGGAGGTTATTTCAAGGTCACTGAGGCATCCATGACAGCTTAATGATGTCATTCAAGTTATGTCATTCCGCTGACCATGCAGTAATCAAGGCCAAAAAATATACAATCGTCCACTCGTTCATATCTGGCGTTCGTAAGCACGATTTCCATGTAGGACGGCCATCAATTGGTTCTCAATAAACGTTATGCGAAGTACGCTGACGTATTGAGGAACATATTTACTAAGCAGAGAAATTTTGTCGTCTAAAGCAGTCTGTTTCACTTGAAAGTGCACGAATAGTTATCATTGATCTCATCTTAGCATACTTGATGCTTACTTCAAGATTTTTAAATGCGGAATGTACATTTCAAAGGGAATGCCTTACATTGAAGTAAGCATCAGATATGATAGAAGAAGCTCACTTTTAACTAGTGCTATATTTGTGAGCGAGAATGACTGCTTGAGATAAGACAATGTCTCGATTTGCAGAACTTGTGAAGTCGTTTGCGAGGAACATTATAAATTCAAATAAGACAGTATTGATAGCCTTATTCCCCGAAAAATGACCAGGAGATGGGACAAAAAGATGCTTTGATATTCCGGCTGCATATTTCCATCAAAACGAATATCACTAGTCTACTACTATTTAATAATAAAAAACTAAAGCATTTCTGGATGCCTACTGCGAAGGTGCTATTGGGCATACTACTCAGATATAGCTATATTACTACTGTAAAGTGTACCACTAGTACTCGTCTCGGTAAAGGTACGCAGCCGAAATATCAATACATCCTTTTCTCCATTCTCTTGGCTATTGTACGAGGATAATAGTAATAATAATAAGGCTAATAGTACTGTTTTCTTTTTCTTCTTTGTAAACATGCTCCTCAAGACGCTACTGATTGATTTTATCAGCATACCTTGCACAACATTTATTAAGTGCCAATTCACGACCATATCCGGAAATCGTGCTCACAAACGCCAGATATGGACGACCAGTCCTTAACATTTTTCTTGACCGTGATCACGCTGTAGCTAATGGAACGGCAGGGTTCGAATGACGTTATTATGGCGTCGCGGATCCCTGTGCGACCTTGAAGTCGTCTCCACAAAAGAGTTTGCACATCTTGACGGACGTGTAGCTTATAAACGATAAGGATTTAGGTCATAAGAAGGGCTGGTCTGTGGACTGCACGGAATGATCTTCAAGATGGCTAAATCAGCCCAAAACCCCATATAATTGTGAAGAGCTTTTTAAATCTTTCGACCTAGGGGCTATGTCTAGTGGAGCAGCTCGTGCAAGTGAAAAACAGTGTCTTCTCCGATGTCTTGGCCAAGGCTGCAGCGATGTCTGACCTCGTTGCCGCCACACATAAAGTGTAAGCCTGGACGAATGTAGAGTTCCTATCCTGCAGCAGAGTGATATATCCAATCTTCCGGTAGCATTGTTATTGGACTTTGGACGCTGCGAAGACACAATAATCTGGGAGATCCTTATCACCAGTGAGAATCATCATGAAGGTGGCATTGTCCCTGAACGCGTTATCCCCGAAATATTGGCTTCTGTTGAATCCTTAGTGACAAGCTTGCCCAGGACCTCTGTTGAATGCTCAAAGGTCTGCCTTGCAGCCCTGTCTTGCCACTATTGCGGTGCGTCGTTGGGGACTCATCTTGCCATTTCTTGGCAAGGATAAACAGTCAATCAGGAACAACGGTTTGGAAGCACTGTTCAGCTTAGTTCTGTGGGCTGCACTAACTGCTCGATTCTAATCCTTGGTATATCTGTCCCTTCGCAACTGCCACTGGCTTGACATGCTAGTGGATATCGTCGATCCGGTCGACTGTGCCACTGTGAGTGCTGCTGTGCCGGGAAGGTCTACGGAGGAACGTTGTCCTTATCCACGTGGTGTTATTCGCCTGCATCGTTCATACCACAAGCAGTTCAGGTAGGTCTTCGCTTTCGGAATATTTTTGCATTAAATCAGTCGCTAATACCACGGATAAAATCCCTCAGAAACAACAGCTTGGTAGCACTGCCCAGCATAGTTTCGTGGGCTGCACTAGCTGCCTGATTCCAATTTTTGCTATACCTGTCCCTTCGCAACTGGCGCTTCGCGAATGGTTAGCACGCGGCAGTCGGTATTCGGAGGGTTCACCCAGACTCAGCGTAGCAATGTCGCATCAATGCGTGACGCATGGAACACTCCGAGTCATGTCCAATAACGGGGCGGAGGTAAAATTATCCCGCTGAACCAACCGGGATAAATCAGGTGGCGAGTTTGGGGTGCACGTATTGGGGTGCACGTACGTGCACGTAGAAAGTTTTGCTTATTGTTTCTGTCAGCCAAGTGTCATTCAGTCAGACCATTCAAACGCATCGTGGATCTTCGCGTAATTATTTCAAGCAATGCTCGACTCTCAAGAGAATGTCTCGCCTTTGGAATATATTTCAAAGACATGCTATGGGGCATGTCCTGGGATCCGTCATGTATATTAATAATACGGGGTGGCACAGCTGTTCCACCAAAGGCATATGATGAGCATGCTTATTTATTCTTTTCACGCCAAGTGAAGCTATCAGCATCTCAAAACAACACTGCTTTTCTTTTGGATGATAGTTGCGCACACAAGGCAACGTCCGGCAATATCAAGTTCACGGCAGGTCTGGGCCGCAGTCGAATGTTTTACCTTATAGTATGACATTTCCGATGGAAGGATGCCTGGATGTTAATATCGTCCTTTGTAACATGTAATGGTTTTGTTTCCTAAAGTTGTGCACGCTAATTACAGACCAGCATCATTTGCATCCCAAATTCATGCCTCGTCAAAGAGAAACAGCTAGATTTGAGATTTCATGCCAAAATGAGCCCATAATATCATCCAGGCAGCGAAGAAAAATAATGTTTTGTCCCGCATGCGTTATGCCCTGCCCTGTTTTTGTCGTCCTCTGCAAATAAGAACGTGATTGGATTGACTGAAACCATTAAAAGGCAGTAAGCCTTGTCTAACATGAGTGTAGGAATTTACAACATTTTTATGTTGTGCTGTTGCCAAGGTGACAAATGCAAATGAGGTTTTCTGAATTGAGTCAACGTGTGAGTATTGCTATCTCATTCATTTTGTTTTCCTAGATCAGTGCGCATGATGCACTGGGGCACACAGTATGCTGGATGGGTAGTACTGTGCTTCAGGTAGGGGCTTACAGACTGGATCGTTGTTTAAATTTATGTACCTTGGCATGGACGTTTGGTGTCTGTTACGCAAATATTTATGATGTTGGGGTCGGTTAATGTAACAGTGTACGTGCGCCGCGAGCGATCAGCGGTTAATGCAACAGTGTACGTGCGCCGCGAGCTATCAGCGGTTAATGTAACAGCGTAAATGCGTCGCGAGCGACCAGCGGATTCGTCGGTTCCCGCCCACCGCCCTGGCCGGTCGTGGATCGCCGTGCAGTATTCTCCCAAAATATCGCTTCTCAGAAACCAGAAAGGCTTGAGCCGTGTTTTGTGTCAAAACACGTAAAAAGTATGCTCTGGCAATACACAAAAATTGGGCGTGATTACAGGATTTCCTGGATATATATTCCACTGAAACTTTAGAAGGGATCACAACTTTCTACCACCCCCTTTCCCCAAGGAAAGCGAGGGTTAACGTCAGGTATGCTAAAATAGCTAAATGTCATATTTGATGGCCTTGGAGCGTGGACGAACAAGGATAGTTTTCCAGGAAATGATTAAGTGATGAAAGATAAGGCTTGGTGTGAAAATGGCAAATATTATTGCAGCCGTAACAGTCTCCGCTTAACATAACTGCTTGCTCTGGATGCATTCACTCATCTTATTTGAATTTCATATTGTTTGCTGGCGTGTCTGCGCGACCTTCGCGTTACCTTTACGGCGGCATTCGTAATGAGCGCGACAAAGCGTGAGCTCAGCAACTCAAAGCCATGTTCTGCACATAAGCATACACGCCTGATAAAATAATCAGCTCGTCACAAACATGAAGGGCGTTAGCGTGACAGTGCAAATTACGAAAGGCATGTGTGCAGCCGTGACATATCGCCTTCGTCCCGCGCTGCTTACCGTCCAAAGAAGAGTGGCTCTCATGGTGACTCGGCAGTGGTCCTGATCTGACCGGAGTGCTGTCCGATATGTCCCGGTCTCCCAGGGTACAACCGACCAGTCCTGACCTCCGCTGGTGGGCGGGGCTGCGCTGCAGTGCTGGCGGCGGCAGCTCAGCGCTCTCTGTGTTTATATCTGGCCGGCGGTTGGCCTTTTTATACGCGATCAGTGCGCCTGGCCTCGTGTCTGCCGGCCTCGATGGGAAGATTCCAATGTGGCGGCGGTATTCCCACCGTGATTCCAAGAACGAGCTCGTAATGCAGCCAACTGCTGCATAACGACTTGACCCGTCTGTAGCCTAGCGACTGAACCTCTTTGACACGACGCTTACTCAAACATTTATAGAAGCCTAAAATTTGAGGGCAGTTTGGCAAATTTTTTCTTAATTTTTGACGCAGTCTGGGTCAAATTGTCCTGGATTAAATCAGCTGATGAAGATAAAACGCATCTAATTGTTAAGTAATTAACACGCGCTCGGGTGGCCAGCTGGATACCTTTCGCTCGGGTGGGCGGAGGGGGGGGGGTCAATTTGAGTCCCTGAGATCTGAGGAACTGAGAGAGCTAGAGACACCAAACTTACAGAGTGTACTGACCTGTACGTGAACTCACTTAGGTGAAAGTTTGAAATTTTTAGGCTATGACCTTCGGGTCAAATAAGGCCAAAAAAGGTCAAATTCCAGATTGGCCTCCCAAGTACCCCCACAACCTAGATAACTGTTTCTAAGCAAAAGGTCACATGCTCATTTAAGGTCAGTGACCTTTTTTGACCTTTTGAAGGTCATGGTGACCAAAATCGTACAAGACTGCTCTGAGTTTTGCAATTGAATAAGCGACACAGATTACGCTATGCGGCATGTTCCTAAAAACAAAATGTTGACCTGGGTCATCTTGGGTCAATGTCCTATTCTGACCCCTACGAAATCCATGGAAGATGTATAATGTGGCTCCTGCTCTCAATAAATGCGAAATGAGCACTAGAATCTATCCCATGCAGCAAGCCCTCGGGTAAAAAGCAGGTTGATGTTGACCTTAGTCTGACCTTCATACCTGACCTTAGGTCAACGTTATTTGCTCATTTAACATTTGTGTTGCCTAACAAAGCATTTCAGAGATGTATGGCTTCGTCTAACACTCCGTTGTTGCATCAGATTGAACGACTCCTTAGAAATTGACTTCGCTAAAACCATGGCCTGACTTTGACCTGCCATATGTCAGCGACCTTGCTAGGTGCATCTCAATTTTTGGTACCAAACGATCCACTATTAAATTGTCTATAGTTGTGTATAATTTGGCGCGGCTACGCCGCGCCGTTTGGAAGCCATTCTGGAAAAATATTTGAAGGGATAAATTTGCCCCAACCGAGCGCGTGTGAAATGATGTACGTAAGTTTACCTGTTTCACTATAACAGTATTCAGGGCTATTTCAATCACATAAAACTTAGCAGTGAATGAGTGCGAGAATTGCGTTCAGATTAGCCGGGCATGATTTGATCTGATGGAAATGGCGAAAAGGCCACGTATTTTCGAAGTATACCGCAATGTTGAAGATATATGCCTGGGCCTCATGGAGAAGATAGTGGTATTAGCCTTATTCATCGGGGAAAAACAGAATATAGATATAGTTAGAGATATAGTTAGAATAGTAATAGAGATATAGTTATAATATAAATAGAGATATAAATAGAGATAATATGAATAGAGATAATATAAATAGAGATATAGTTTAAGCTTCACTTTTGCTTTTGTTTATAGAAAGACATGTTGCCGGTACATCAACCTAACTACATCTCTATTCACCTGGTTTTTCCGAGGAATAAAGCTAACGCTACCGTCTTATCTCTGTAACTAATGTTTCTCGCTAAGGCACTGAAAAACTTAGGTAATATATATGTCATGGGCCGAGTGACAATCGCATATTATGCCCGTGAGATTCTCAGGCTTCTGGATGAAGCTCAAGCCCACACGCCCAACGTGCAGAGAACCACCCAAATGTCTCTAAGGTTGTTATGGTTAGGTTTGTCGTAAGAGCCGATCGTGTACTTAAGTTATCGTGGCTTAATCAAACAGAAACTGCACAGGGTCACCTGGGAGGCCGCACCTAGCAACCAGCTGGCGTACAGTACTCGTCGGGAACTGACTGTTATTGACGAGGAAGTGCCCAGCTGTAGGATGAGGGTAGCAGTGTGTATGTTTACTGCGGCGCGGCTAGGGAGGGGGGGGGGGGGGAGCGAACCGCTTCCTATACTGATGTGTCTTACTTCGCAATGTTCTTCGATGAAGACGTGCATCCCAAGCTTCATTGTGACATCATCAAATACATGACAGCTTCTGCTGTTTGCACATCGTTCAAAAAGGAGTCAAGACCCGTTTTTTGGTCTTCTCCTTCCGGCTCTTCTGTTTTCGTTCTCAAAATTCCCTTTTTCTGCTCCAAAGTCCTCACTCCCTTACCTGGAAGAGTACAACATCACCAAAACGGAGACTTCATGATTTGTTGGCTCCACGGCTGACCGCGTATGGCTGACGCATAACCTGGCTCTCTGATGTCTGCGCTCTGTTTCTGCGGTCCATTTAGTGAAACGACACGCAGGCCAATTGTTTCATAAACGGTTGGGATCGTACCCAGGAATCCGCGCCATTTAAACGCCCGACTGTCTCATTTAGGATGATCTGGAAACAACCTTACCATCTCATGAGACTGTATGCTTTCTTATCATAATCGGTCTATATCCGCGATTTTTAGAACCACAACAATCTTATGTGCTAACTGACTAACAACCTGATCAATTGCATTTGAACCCCTCTCCATCCACCAGACCATTTATAAATGAAAACGATTGCGATGGTAAAAACGAGACTAGAAAAAATGGGTTGCACATAATTGTATATACAAAAAAACATGCATTGCGAAAAGTTACGTATGCAGAGAATATTCACCTTACAGTGCGATTTGCATCGGAAACATGAAATTTTAAAGTCGCAAAATAAACACTGAAGAGCACCGCACATCGCAGAGCCTAGATCTTGGCAGCCAGGCGTTACAGCGGGACGAGACCAACGTGCTCTGTCGGAGGGGAGAATTATGTGCGCGGACCATCATACAGCCCCACGAAAGCAATGCACTCGCCAGCTTTCAGACGTTTTAAGCTCAGATGTCAGTTCTCAGCAGGCAGGCCAGGTGGAGATGAAGACGTGAAATAAACTGCGCGGTGTAAGCGAATGTACCAGCTTCAACTCGCTTCTGGATATCGATTATGTCCAAGCCATATCGTAACCAACAATGTAGTCATACCAAGCCATAAACCACATAGGTTCGCCAGTAATAGCCCAGGAAGTGGACACTTTCACCTTCTCCAAAACCGATCTCGAAACAAGATGTAATGGTCTAAACCGATACTGACTGACCCTTTGGCTTATGTATAGACAGCTGGTTACTGCAAAGGTGTTTTGGATTGCCTATTCTCACAAACATTCACCCAGAATGTTTGCGTTATTCGCAACATTTTGTATCCAAATCCGAAACACGGTAACCGTCAATAATTTATGGATGTCAAACAGAAGTACCGAAACACACCAGGCTCCGACAGCCAGCCACTCTTTAATACAGAATAATTGTATGTCGTCACGTGCATGCTGCATCAGCGGACGGCGGCGTCTTAAAATCTTGTGAAAGTTAAGCCTTCCGATGCACTTAGAAAATGTGACAGTATGGATTGCCGCGGGTGTCTGGTTGGATCAGCTTACATTGTTAGATCACCCGCATTACAACTGAATACTTTGACGTCCGTTGTCGCCTCGCTCATTTTGCACAGCGTCAGGTGTTTTGCAGATTGATTGAGGTATGCATTGCATGCCTGCCCATCAGTTTGCTCATGCATGTTGCTGTAGTACTTGCTGAGGTGCTGGACACGCTGATGGATTTCAGCTTGCCTTGCCACTTCCCTTGTTGTCATGAAGTTAGACCTTGATGTTTTTTTAGTTTCTGTCTGTGTTAGGCTTGCTTCACAGTGTCACATATTTCTGTGATTGCTTTCATTCTGTATGTACTACGGCATGGGGTTCAACAAACGTGCTTTCATATGGGCAATATCTGACTTCAAGCATGACGGCAGCTTCCAGCAGGGGGTGTAGTCAGCGGGATCAGCGCGGCAGCCAGCTCATGGTAGGCCGCAATGATTTCCCAGCCGCATGCACCTTTAAGTTGGGGTTTCCGGTTGTTATACCGTGCCATGGAAAGCTATTTGGAGACATCGGTGCACCAAAACCGGGAGGAATATCTCGGCTAAGCTCACGGCATGCTAGCCCCGTTGCCAGGAAAATAACATTGTATATAGCTGAAAAATGGAGCAATAGCACACCGAGTGATACGCTGGCGTTCAAAGTCTGCGTGGGGAGTCGGGAATACCCGATTACTCAGAGTGCCGCCCTGCCCGCCGGGCGAGCGCAGAACCAGTACCGGGTAGCGTAACTTGAGCACAACCGGGCGCAGCATGCGACTGGCAGTGCTGACAGGGATGGAAGAGAACGGCTCTGCGTCTCGTCAACTCCCGTGACGTCACAGGCCGGGGTGCACGAAACGCGGCCGTCGGGAAATCACGTGCCAGACCGCAATGGCCGGCGCATGGAAAGTATGGGCGCAGCCGGACGGGGGGGGGGGGGAGGGGGGGAGGACGGGGGTATTCCCTTCTTGTCTGGAAGTGGGCTCCTCCGCTTGGCCTAGGTCGTTAGAATGACAGAATGTTAAAAATGGGCGAGGTGAGTTCTTGCTGACCTCCACCCCATCCCCCGCTCCTTTCCCCCTCCACCCATCTCAGGAAAATCCTGGCTGGACTCTGGTTGTGGTCACGTATCCCACGATGGCGAGTCTTCTCGGAATAGACGTGGCCACACACGGGGAGGGGGAGGGGCAGTTAAACAACCTCCCGTCGCAAAACCAGCCGCCAGAATGACTCGCCCTCGGCCGTTCTCCTGCTTCCGCTAATCTGTTAATCCATCCAGAGAATCAACCTCGAAATTCCGCAGGTGAAAGTTCTGGGTATTGAGCTGAAAGACCTTTACATCCCAGCCAGGGCAACCTAACAGCTGTAACTCTCACAATACGGGACAGGGGACCTCTTCTTGATCCTGAGGTCCGTACAGGAATGTGTCATATATCAGCTCCCTCCCTGAGCGGCAGGCCCTCTAACTGGATCATCTAGCACAGGATCCAGACATTGACCCTCGCTAACGCAAAAAGATATCTGACCGGCACCGATTTATTAACTAACCGCCGAACTTCAAATCGGCCAATGGGCCCCGCTTGAAACGACGGGGCGGTCCTCTTGCTGGGTACTGAGGTCTCTGACAGACTCAGGATCTTGGCATCGTCTCATTGTGAATGTGAACACTACCACAATCACTTGCACTCCTATTTGTCATGTTTCCTTTCATTGGCATGGGGGCCCCGACTAGAGACGTACCT